GCTCAGTTCCCAGTAGCTCTCCTCAATTGCCACCTATTACCAGGAACCTGGACTGTAGCTATTTCTGTTCCTGACAGGAACAAAGAACAACTGGAAGCTCTTTTCCTGTCAAAAGGATACCCTAAATGCAAAGATGCAGCAGCACAAAACGTGACTTGCATATCAATCCTAGTAGAGGCACAAAGTAGTCAAAGAGTGTAGAGCCTTTCCCCACTCTGCAGGCAGCACTGTGCACAGTCCAGGCTGAGATGGGCTTTGGGGCATCACTCATATGTTTTACATCAATCACCTCAATGCAAAGTAGGTTAGTTCACAGACCCTCCACTACATTAAACTTCATTTTACCTCTGCTACAAGGACAGATTGTTCAGCATCTGCCTTTGCTTCCAAGGCACTATTAATAATATTAGAGTACATCTCAGTGACAGTCACCAGCATTAAGTCTGTACTGAAATGCCATTCATTTAAATATGCAGATAAATCTTACACACATTTTTTATTCAGGGCACACAGAACTCGAAAACAAACAGCCTCTAACTATGCTATTCATTCTGTGAGCATAAGGCTACTGTTTGTTTTAATCCTGCTGCAAAAAGCTAGCAGTAGATATGGCTCGATCCCTTTCCTACCCTGGCCAAATATCATGGCCCACAATTCAGGCACCCGTGCAAGCTGGAGCTCCAGCCTAGTCACAGGACAACAACCAGCAGCCAGCAGCTGGGGAAGGCATGGTGAGCATGGGATGGCCCTGTGAGCACACAGCTTGTGGCATGACCTCCCTAGCAATCCTGCAAGAGAGGTCCTCACACTGAGCAATCCCATTGACACTGATTTCTCCAGGACAACTTCCCCAGCTTGGCAACCCACGGATAGGCTTTTCACAGATTTATACATTTATCTAATTGTTCTTTCATCGGTTCTCTAAGAAAACTAAGAGTTTACCCTCAACAATTACTACCTAGACTAAAAAATAGAAGAATTTTTGCCCATTAGACCCCATCATATGCTCAGTCTTTCACCACAGTCACTGTGGCTGACTGAAAACCAAGCTCCAGCAGCAAAAGATGAAGCACCTAGAAGCAGCATAGGTGCTGTGTTCAGCAGTGCCTCTCCAAAGGCAGCCTGAGAAATGGGAGCAGCTTAGAAAAAGTGATGCAATAAGCAGAATTTGATACTGCAAACACTATGTTGCCTAATCCCTGGCCTACAGATCTGTCCTGTTAGGTTTTTTAGGTCACATGTATTTGCGTCCCTTGGTATTATTTCTGAATTTTACCTGAAAAGGAGCTCAGTTACAGGAATTGCATTTTACCGTACCATATGTCAGTGTATTTCAACTCAAATTGTGTTTGAGATAACCTGAGTGGATTTCTGGAAAGAAAAACATAAGGCTTGCTTTGCAGTAACATTTCTCCAGAACTCAAGAGGCATGCTTGAAATAACTGCATTTGAAAAGGCCAGCAAAAGTATTACTTCAGTGCAGCTGAAACAAATAATATTTGCTTAGTAGAACATGAGTCCAGGATCTTGGCACAATGACCTTCTTTTCCTCAAATAATTGTCTGGGTTGTTGGGTTTTTTTTAATTTAAATTGAGATGTGATCTTCCAACCAGTGAGCACCACTGAACGCAGCTGATCAGACTACCCAAAGCAGGATTTTTGTTTGAAAGAGTCATTTATGCTCCCATATTTTCATGTTATTTCAGAAGTTCTGAAAACACCTGAAGATAATATTTCTTAACTGAGTAGCTGTTTGCTAATGCCAGGAGGTTGATTTTCTTCTTGCTGCTGACTCTAACAGAAGCATTGAGGCATCATGAGTTTTTCCAGGCTGAAGTATCCAGTTGCCTTTTTGTTTGCTTATGCAGGTGTTTTACGTAATTGCCCCAATAAGGCTGACGCTCACGGAAAGCAGCTGCAGCACAGGCAGCGTTGTAGGTGTTCACCACTTACAGCTTAGCTGGCCTCTAAGAGCACAGGAAAACAAGTCCTGTGTTTTCTAGGCAGGCTAATTGAAGTGTTCAAGTTAGATTATGGCTTTGCATTGTTAATAACACCTGATAAGCAACACCCCAAAACTCAAAATGAATCAAATACTTTAAAATGTAGAGACACACTAAAATGGGGGGAGCCCACCAAAACTGTTTTCCATCTAGTGTCACACTGATGTCTGGTCTAGTCTAATGTACCTGAATAGGTACTTAATTCAAAGTTCTTATATTAAAGAAGAAAATTATCAAGAAAAACCTGAATCTAAATTATTTACCAGAGAAATGTAGGCAAAGTCCCTCTATCCTTCCCAGGCATAACTCTGCCTTTGAATTGGGTCTGCAAGTCTTCTACTGCTTTGCTTTGTCTCCCTCTAACTTGCAGGCCTATCATCAAACTTCCATGAGGAGGCTTTCTCAGAAATATATCATTTTTTAAAGAGTGTTAAAAAACAGCTGAGTTTCTTTTCAACCAACCAAAGAGGTGGCCTTCACCTGTTTAAATACTTGAACAGATGAGCCCAGCTGGAAACCGATCTTCCTGTGACAGGAAGGGAGAACTTTTTTAAGGACTTAACTCCTTTCCTGCCTGATAAAAGATGAGACTTCAGAAGCACATTTCTATTATGTCAGTAACTGCAGTATGCCCACTGGGCTGCAGAAGAGAAGGCTCAGGGAAGATCTCAGTGATATGTATCAATGTCTGCTGGGAGGGAGTGGAGAGGATGGAGCCAGGCTTTACTCAGCAGTATCCAGTGACAGGACAAGAAGCCACAAGGACAGATTGAAATACAGGGAATTTTACTTATGCAGAAAAAAGAACCCCTTTTCTGCTGGTAAGATGGTAAAACACTGAAGTATATTTCCCAAGCACATTTTGGAGTCTCTATCCTTGGAGACACTTTAAGCCCAATATAGGACATGGTCCTGAGCAACCTGCTGGAGCTGACTGTGCTTCCAGCAGGAATCAGGTGATACAATCCCCAAAGGCCCCTGCCCCACCTCAAACCTCCCCATCATTGTGTCCCTGCAGGGCAGCACTGGCATGGCACAGGTCACAGGGCAGAGAGATCCCCAGCACAGTGTGACTGTACATGCTCCTCTGAGGCCTGGAACTGTTCTGTATTATCTCAGACAATCTCTCCATGTGAATATACCTGTGAAGAGACCCTAAACCCCAGGAACTAAATATGATGGTGGATGAGTGACAAGCCTGAGAGGGAGCTTCTGCCCTCCTTCAGGAGACCACATGCAATAACTAATTAAATTGGCTTTTTTTTTTTTTTCAACATTATTCATGCCTCCTAGAAGTCACATTTTTAAATTCCACTTCTCGCCACTTCAAGTTTTCCCTTATGGTAAATTTGCCCAGATTCAAGGATAAAAGTGAAAGTGCATCACCTCCATCTGAGCAGTGTGTCAGTACATTTAATTCCTTCCCTTAGCACAAAGGGATTATTATTCCATTTTATTTCAGTTTGCTTCTGGGAATACACCCAACCATTCACCTGTGGGAGTTGCCCTTTGCACAAGGATTCTGTTTTTAGAAGCATCTCACGTGAGCTGGATCAAGGATTAGCAGTAGCATTTCTGAGCACTTGTGGTCACAGTTAAGATCCTTTGGGCTTTTTCTGCTATCAGAAGGAATTTTCTGCTATCCTTCCTGAAGTATTTCTGTCTGAAACAGAATCAAGTTATTCATTGGCCAAGGAATACCACAGTCTCCCTGTGAGCAGTCCCATGATTTGCAGACTAGACTCTTGCCAGAATAGGCCAGAGGGAGATCCTGCTAAAATCTCTGTGAAATAGCATTTAAGATGTGTATTTGGACACTAGGAAGGCCCTATTTCTACAGCCTCAAAGGGAACACAAAAGAAAACCTTTGTTTTCTCTTCCCCTTGCTTGCATGGATTGATCCTCCATCAAGGCTTATCTACCTTTATGTAATGAAGCCTGCAACTTATTCAAGGGAGGCAGCAATACACCTGGACTTTCAAGACACTTTTGCCTCCTTCCACTAATTTATTCATTTTTCCCAGCCCCAAGTAAGCCTCATTTAAAAAAAAAAAATAAAAAAAGAAGGGAAGATGGTCTCAAGTATGCTGGAGTTCTGCACTTTTGCGTTTCCCGTTTCCCCTTGCACTGAAGCAAGTGCTTCCACCACTCACCACTTGGTGACAGGACAGATTGATTACACTAATTGTATGACAATGACTTGAGCAAGGTATGCGTGAAGTCATTAGCTGAAGCAGGAATTCAGTGCCGGGGTCCCAAACTGTCCTTTGTCCTTGCTGCACTGATATCTTATCTGCTTCAGAAAGGATTCAATAGCTGAGTTGCTGAGGGCTGTAGCTCTCAGGAACATTCCTGATCAAAACGCAATTACCTGGCAACTTGATTCTGTGGGCTGTGAAACCGACCATGGAAAGGGAAGGTAAAAGAAGATGCTGACCGTGCTGCAACCTCACCCAGGCTGTTCAAGTGTTGATACTGCAGGTGTGTGTAAAGACAGCCCTGCCTCCGGTGGCTTTTAGCTGCTGCTCAGAAGCTGATCTTGTTATCCTCAACACAAACTTACACTGGCTTTGGGAATCCAAATCCACCTGTTGTAAAAGACCTCATTCTCCCTCTGAACACAGGGCTCATTAAAACATTCGTTTGTGCAAATATGAGTGTTGTCAAAACGGTCCATTGAACTGATGTTGTACCAAGGAGCTGCAATAGAGTCCAGGGTGTACTGTGTGCACAGACTGTTACCCACTTAGGGACCAGGCAGAGGGAAAAACACTTCTACCTAAAGTTTATGGCCTGAAAGCCATAAACAAGAACAGCCTTGACTTGGTAACAGCCTAATCCTTTATCATAAAGGCAAACTAGCCCTTCTCCCCCCTCCTGTCAATATCTCAGTTTGAAGTGTTAAACAGCAAAACAAGGCACAAGAGCATGACAGTAACACCAAGCAAAGTAGTGCTTTTAAGTATTATTAAAAAAAACCAACAACCTCAACAACATAAAAGTCAACCTAAAAGTTTATTTAGTAGAAAACTTTCAGAAGACAATTTGTTTGAATATTTGAAGCACTACACTGCCAACATACTCATTAAAGACAATTCCCGTTCTCCTAAGGTATAATCCCGTTTCATACTGCACCCTTTATTTGTTGCTTTCATCCTGACAGAGAGCCTGTACAGCTCTTCTTCTGCAATGCCATCAAAAAAGAAGTCCTCATTGAAGATGGGATTTCTGCTTCTCTTTATAACTGTGCTTCTCTGCTTCTGTGTTTTCCCTGGCACCAGGGAGAAGGAGATACAGCAGTTTATGGTTTTGGGCTCCACAGAATCATCATATAAACCCTCTGCACTGATCAGGCGGATCCGCAGCCTCTCATTCTCTGAGCAGTATTCAGCTGACAGCCTCAACATGCCTCCCTTGTCCATTACCACAGTACTCTCTCCCACCAGTCTCTCCCGACTGCAGCTCAGGTCCACTGGAAACATGGGAGAACAGGAGGTGCTAAAGCCCCGTATGCCAAGCAGCCCCTCAGAGGCCCTCCTGATGGCACTGGGGCTGTTATCAGTGGAGCTGCTCTCCTCTGTAGAGAGAGAATTGTTCCTGGGCATACTGTGTTTGCTTTTGTCTTTCAGTGCTCTGCAGAGCAATCCCTCCTGACTTTGTGCTTTGATCAGGGAGCAGGGTCTGGGAGGTGACCTGCTGAGAAGTGGAGAACTGAAAGGAGAGGAATCACTGGAAGAGGCAGTGTCGCTGTCACAGGCGCCTTGCCTATGCAGAGAGAGATGCTTAGGCGGCAGTCTCACAGAAGCAAAGCTGATAGCAATGGGATTAGACATGCTCCCTTTGCCACTGAATGTGTTAGCTCTGGATCGAGACAGCTTCAGGCTGGGCAGAGCCCCACGTGAATCACCATGGAAGATGGACTCCTTCCTCCTGGTGTGGGGACTCTCCAGCAAAGTGCAGAAGCCATAGGAAGTGGAGGCTCTAGGAAAGTGGGGCAGGGAGAGCGCTGCTTGGGACTGTGGGTCTGCATTGGTGCTTTCTTCCTCCAGGGCTGAGATCTCCTCTTCAACACTTTCCACCTGAATGAGATGTCGGCAAGAGCTGGGGCTATAATCAGAAGTAAGAGCTGCATCCACTGAATCGTGATCCTGGTGGAAGCCACTGCCCTTAATGGAGCCAGAGCTGGTCAGCCTGGGGGGAATGCAGAATTCAGGGATTCTGTCAGGAGTGATCACATGTGGAAAAGCAGTGGCCCTCAGCTGGGCCTTTTCTGGCAGATTTTGGCCTTGTGGCAGTCCCAGGAAGGAAGAGCTGGGGAGGTTTCCATTTTCATGTGATGGTCTGATCTTTTCCAACAACCACATCACTGTAGCTGGGCAGGAGGTCTTCAAAGGGGAAAAGTTTGAAGGAGAAATCCACCTGCAGACACACAGAGAGGAAAACGTACATGAACATCCTTTTTGGATACACTGCAGCCAAGCAAGGCACAAGGGTGCCATTCAAGGCAGGACTAACACAAGCCCACGTTCAAAAGAGCCCCTGCTTACCATATGATTTCTACCTTTAGCGAAATCAAATGGGGCAAGAACAGAACTAAACCACTAAAGAGAGAAAACAGCATCAAGTCACTACCAGAGATTATACGTCCCTGTCGCATAATCCCTACCGTGCTTTTCCCTTAGCAGAGGACGTACCTTGACAAGCGCAAGCCTTGTTGTTTGCCAGCCCGGGCTCGGTGTCAGCAGCTCTGAGCAGCACGGCGCAGCCCGCGCCGAGCCGGCCCTTTAGTAGCCGCGCCGGGCGCCTCCCAGTCGCGCCGCCGGCCGCGGGAAGGGGCGGGGGCTGCCACCCGCACCTCCTATTCTCATGCGGAGGGTAGAGGCTGAGAGCGGCGCCGCAGCTGCCCTGCAGGCACTCTGCTGGGCACCGGGGCCGTGCCCGGAGCAACGGGGAGGGACTTGCAAAAGGGGCCTCTCACGGGAAAGAGCTTTTTGACCGTCTTCTTTCGCCCCCACAGAGTAGCGGATGTTCCCGGCGCTTGGCACTCGCCTGCCAGCGCGGGGGGACGGGGCTGCCCGCGCCCGGCCCCAGCCCCTTGCCCCTTCCCTGCGTCCAGGTTCTTTTTTGATTAATATCTACTTACAGAGGCGTCCCGAGGTGTTTCGAGATAACTAACAAACCCAGGACAAAAGCAACATTGTCTTGGGGATTCTTTTCTTCTGGGAATCCTGGCAGCTTTCCAGGTTAGAGCAGTAGGAAGTGGGGATTGCGGTTTTCAAGCTCATTTGAGAACTTTGCTACCCTTCTACATCCGAATGTGTGTCCAACCCCTCGTTACTCACAAAGAACACGAGACTACGGAACCCTGACACAGCGTCCTTATCACTGATACTGAGCACCAACAGAAAGGCGAATGCAGGTGCAGCGAGGAGAAAGACAAGGCACGAAATGCTTTGGCAAGTCACCTTGAAAAGCAGCATGTCAAAAACCCAGGCCCTCGGGACGCTTTACAGACCCTGCCCAAAGCCAGGCGGGATCCATGAAGTTCCTCACCAAGCAGCAGAGCCTGAATGGACCTCTGCAACTCTGTAATTATTCTGCAAGCAGCAAGTAGGAATCTTTAATGCAAAGTCAGGAAGGCCTGCCAAACTGGTTGGCTAAATACTCATCTGAAGCCTATAACACAGGGATAGTAGACAAATAAGATTCTTCTTCCTCTCTTCCGCTGAAGAGCTAAAGTGCATGTTTACAGAGTGCTTGAAATAGATGAGATGTGCTCAGAGAAAATAAATCCCGTGGGCAACAGGGGCAGGGAACATTTTGAACCTGCTGAAAGATTTAGCTGGGTACACACGTGTTCTGGGTGTAAGCCCTGCTTCTCTCCTATTTTTTTATACCAGTTAGGCTTCATTAGCATAACAATCTCCTGGTGATTAAAATCTAAGAAAATTCTTTCTGCCATGCTTTTTTACAAAGGTTCAGGACACCCCAAACATCCCAGTGACGTTTCAGTTGTAGGAGCTTGTGCAGTTTACTTAGATGAACTTACTTGATGTGGGTGTGCTTCAAATAAGATCTCCAATCTAATTTAGAGGGTTCTGGAGAGGGTTAGTGCTTTCTCCAGCCTATGAGACTTTACAGCAGAGTACTAAGAGGAGTTCCTGGAGATGCTGGGATGCTCTCTTTTAGGAAGCAGTATGTGCACCTTTTAGCTGTTATCCATTCAGACCAGGCAATACCATACCATGTATCATGCATTACACACCGTGTAGTTTCCAAAGAGTAAGTGGGCTTGTTCTATGTGTTATGCATCTCTGCCTTTAATACCAAAGAAAAAAATAACTCTAAACATGGAGAAAAATTAAGGAAATGGCACTTTTTAGTGGAAACCTTATTGCCTTCAGTAACAGATCACAGAAGTTGTTCATATACAGCAATCATGGCAACCAGCCTCAGGTGCACTAAGTTCACAGCTGGCATCAGGCAGTGATGAAATCAAATAGCTACCCTGTTATAGGTACGTGATTTCTCCTGAGTCTCTTTACTCTTCCTCTACCGCCAGGGAAAAGAGTTCAGGCTTCTCCAGAGATGATCAGTCTCACGATCACAGTTGCCTGTCTCCCTCCAGTGACTGCAGAGAGGAAGCAGGTGCCTTACACGGGGTGGTGGATCCTCCCCTTCCTATGAAAGCCTGCGCTGATAGACACTTAACAGATTGCTCATTTGCTGGGAGTTCAGCAGCGCTTAAGCACTTGTACCTGCCCCGTGGAAATAGGCACTCAAATGTGTATATATAGCTTCCTGTGTTCAGAACAGATTCTTTCCTTGATTAGCTCCAGAGCATAATTAAAATATGCTGCCAACAGGACTTCCTGTTGTTATAAAAAATGTGCCTACAATAATCCACTTTTAAACCGGATATAATTCGTGGAAAGTCTTTATTACAACCCCTGTACCAACAACAGGTGAAACCCTGGGATCTGGGCACGGGCTGTAAAGAAATGGAATTTCCTGTCAACACAGGAAGAAGTCGGGAGTTTTCCTTCGTGTGACACTGATATGATTTATCTCCTGCCGTTCGGACTTCCCTGGGCACAGTGGCCCGGCTCGGGAAAGGTCCGTCCGTGCCCGCCCAGCTCCGGCTGCGGGACCGGGCGGCCCCTGCCGGCCCCAGCCCTGCGGGAGGCCGGGGAGCTGCGGGGTAAGACATCAGTCCAAAACAGGGTTGAAGCTGGCTGGTTCAAGGGCCTGCAAGGCCCTCTCAGTGGTTTACAGGGGAGAGAGAGGTAGGAGAGCTGCAGGAGCTGACGGCCCTTAACCAGGTATTACAATGTCAGTAGTTATTCTTTGGAAGCGTAACTCCTAGGATTTCCCTGATTGCCATCTTTCTTCAAGACAAAAGGCTAAAGCTGTCAAGTTAGACATCACATGGTATGCCCCATGATTTGCACAAATAATATTGAGAGTTTCCTCATCAACTGTGCCCTTAATACTCCTGTAATCATGCAGAAACTTGTAAAAGGTGATAGTGATTTCCAAAAGTATGGCAGGGTTCATCTATGCACTGCAAAACACTTACTGGCAGGTTTTATTACACAAGAACTTCTTAATAACCTGTCCAATCACACCCACAGGGGTCCTTTTCCAAAGAGCACAGATCCAAAGCAATCTTAAAAACAGAGGAAGGATCTCTCTGTAATGCTCCTGCCATCCATGCTCTCAGGACTGCCTGGCTGGCTGCAGTGTCTCCTGCACCTATAGCACGTATGGAGATAAAGGCACCAGATGACGTGCCTGTGGTGGAGCAGCAGCCTGCTGCTGCACAAGGGCTCATGAGAAGGAACAAGGCAGCAAGCCAAGGACATTTCAAAAAGGATAATTCACCTCATCAAAACATGCTGGGTCTTGACTGGGAGTGCTGAACACCTCAAAACAGGTGTGTTGGCAAACATCACTTCCCATCGTTTTCTATGCCATGGGCTACAAAGACTGAGATGTCACTGCAGGAGGAGAGTTCTAAACTCAGCCCTAACAGCAAGTGCAGCTGCCTGCAGGCCATGCACTCATACTGTGATGGAGCTGTGTGTGGGGACTCTGTTTTTCCTCCCTTGCCCCCAGCCCATTCCCAGTGGGAGGCAGATCAAGAACTAGGTTGGGGAAGTCTGCCTGCTACTCCAGACAGCCTGACCTAGTCATTGCAAATTAAATAGTAAAAAAGAAAACTCACCAATAATTGAAGAGTAATTTTTTCCTCTGAAGAGTCAAATTTAGTTGAACACTTCTACCTGAAGGTGGCACAGCACACTGGTGGAATTGGCCACAATATATTGATGGGTAGGACATGTAGTCATGAGAGTCATACCTTTAAGTGGAAAACATTTCAGAGTAGTCTCACTAACCAGCAGCATCTCATTAAGAAACAGATGTTGCTTCTGGTACACTGAAGTTCAACCTTCAAAGCAAAGCTCAAAGCTAGACTCTTCACCCTTAGGCTGTCCTCAGCATTTCTGTGCACAAAAAAAAACCCCAGTTCTTTTTCTAAAATTTCCACATTTCTAGATTGTGGCTTTCTGTCCCCTAGGTTGTGTTTCTGCAGGAGTATTTTCAGAAATGAGATAGCTTTCCACTTGTACTTTCCATTTACAAAACAGGGCCTGCTATGGCCCTGACCCTGCAAAGCTTCACACAGATGATTTATGATTACCTCCCTTATCTCAGATAAGGCTACTAATGCCCAAAAAATATTTGGAGAACAGTCCCTTGGACTATCAGTGGTGGGGGTGGAAAAATCCATTCATTAACTTGATACTGGTAAGAGGAATCTGATTCCAGGAATCAAGGTAAAGAGCACTGCAGACTTCAGGCAGCTTTGGGAAAAGGCTCAGGATTTTGTGGAGGTGCTGGTTTTGGTCTTTGGGAGCAGAAAGGGTGAAAACAGACAGTGACAGTTTTGTTACCATGAGGAAATGGATTGTCTGAAATTTCATTTAAAGGAAAATTAGAAGAAAAGTTACAGGATACTATAATTATATCCTGGGATAAAGCAGCAGCTCTGGGGCATGTTGTGGATCACACCCCAGAATTCCCATGTTAAACATCTGCTATTAATGGTTTACAACCAGAGATGTGTAGGAAATTAGGTTAAAAGTGCTAGGAGAACGACACTGGCTCACAGCAGCAAGCAAGAAGAGTGGCAGAAATGCAAGGATTTTCCTTGATAAAATGACTTCCAACTCGGGCATCACTAGGCGTGAGAAAAATTGTTTAACTGCTGCTACTAAACACAGAGTTTAAACATATGGCCAGATATTACTGTACAAAGAAAAATAATTTGCATTTATTGCTGTCACACACATTCCCATTGGAAAAGCAGAAATAGGCTCATGTGGTTATAACAGATTCTCTGGCACTGGGTAAAAATTGTTTCATGGTGAGCAGCTTTGCTTAAGTGGGGAGAACAAAATTAAACCTTTTATTGTTTGGCTTCCCCATCCTTTCATTCCCTGAAGCAAGCCTGAAGTCTGAATCCTGCCTCAGCCCTCCTCTCTCATCCCCCAGGGCCAGCAGGCTCCTGCTGGAGCAGGCAATGTGGAACACATGGCACTTGTGTCATGGGAACCTCCTCCACCGCAAATGCTTAAAACAGGCTGCAATTTACTTGTAGTGCATGTTTCACTGGAGGCTTCACACACCCAAAGCAGAACCCAATACTTCAGCTGTTAGGACACTTGTGGGGTTTTTTGCTGCCCAAGTGTGTAAAGTAGAAGATGCTTTCCTGTTTCCTGGCACTTACAAGTACCTTTCACCATTATTTTATCTCAATTAAAACAACAAATACAATGAAAGCTCTGGAAAATGCTTCTTCTAGCACCAGTCTTACAAGAGGTTGCATAGGCAGGTCATTGAGAAGAAAGGCGGGGCATGAGGGGAGGACACCTTTTCCAGGCTGTACTTGTGGGAAGCACAGCTCTTCCTTCAGGATGGGCAGCACCATCCTCAGAGCTGAGTGTGAAACCAGCCAGGTGATCCAGCAGGCTCTGTATTTTCCTCCTAAATTCATAAATTAGAGACTTCCTGGGCAGCAGTCTTTTTCTGTCCCTGGCATTAATTAATTATGCAG